ATTCTCCAAAGGAAAGGAACCATATATAGGGACTTTCTACACCATTTTTGCCTGTTAAAATATATATGCACATATCTTAGATTTTTCCCAATTTCAATACCCTTGTACCACAGTGTGGTGAAGGGTATAAACACTATTCTGAATATGTAGTAACCCATATATTTGTATATACCACACACACTCACATATTCATCAATACTCAGCATTATTGTTCATGGAAAACATGCTGTGTGTGGTTGAAATTTGTTGTTGGTGTTTCTTGGTTAAGTAAATGCGTGAGTTTTTTCTTTATTTTTGTCTGTATGTCATATCTAAGTATAAGTGAATGAGTAGCTCAAGAACTTAATAAAACGTCCTGAAACCACAATTCAAAATTGAGAGAACAAAAAAAAAACACAAACAGATCCGCCCAAAATGTAGGTCAGGTTACGAACAACAAACGTTTCCTTTTCTGTTATCTGTTTGGGTTGTTTTCTGTGTGTGTCTGCCCTATCGTCGGAAGAGATCTTAAACTCTTCTTCATTTTCATTGTTTTAGGTCAATTTTAGGTGAATTTCATTCAGAATCGCAGTCACATCTACGAGTGTATCGCAGCCTATTCAACGCTCAACATTTTACAGTTCGCATTCAGATTTCTATGGCATTTGTTTTGTATTTGTCAAAGGCCTCTCACTCATATATTCGTAGCCCAAGAACACATACACCCACACACACGCTCATATACACATCCGTGTTGTATGCATAAAAGGCTAACTGGCTGGATGGTTTGCCGAGGTAGATGGATGTAAGGATGCTTGAATGGCTGTAGGTGTACCAGTACCAGTATTTGCTTAAATTGTCCTCAAAGAGTATGTGTGATTATGTGAATGCATTCGTCGTTGTCGTTTTATTTTCGTTTCTTTTTTTCCATCAGTGATGCTTATTTTGTGAATTGCTCAAATTCACAAACACTCATACATACCCTTTTTGGTCGGGATTATTTATACATGTTTGGGTATAACTTGCATCCGTACATTGAAGCGTTCATACTGTTGTCGTCGTCATCGCCGTACAATTCCACAGAAATATTTATGCCTTTGTCACTCACTTATTTAGTGTATAGTTATGTAGTACGAATGTGCAAAGGAATGTATCCTTACTTATACGCACAGAGTTGCAAATTCCAGGGTTCGTTTTTATATCCGCTTTGTTAGTATAACGTAACACAATACGTAAATGTTATTTAACTCATTTATTTAATTCATAAAGTGAAACATTAAAAATATTCACAACAAATTCATTGTTGACTTCAGGATGTGTAAATTAAACACCTTGCAGAAATGTGTAATCTTATGACTATTTCGTTGCAGACAACATTTTTCTACATCGAATTTGTTTCTACAACGATTTCTTGTGTTCAATAACTCATGATAAAATTTGATGTAAAATATGTTTATCCTTATATATTAATCCTTCTAAACCAATATCTAGTTTGAAAAATAGGTACAAACTCGCAATAAGATCGGTTTAACGGTTTAAATGTGAGTTTTCACCACTTTGGGTATATTCAACACACTGTGGTACAGGGTTTTTGAAGGAATTTTGTGCATATGTTTGTAACAGGCAAAAATATGTGATTTTTATGTTCCTTTCTGGAATATGCATAAATTTCACTTTCTTTGGGCAATTTATGCATGTCCTTTGCTGTCCATGTTAAATTGTAAATAAAGTACAGGTCGCATTTATGATCCGAATTAAAAATTTGGCACATCTCATTTGATAATGGAAGCTACGATATATCTATATCTTAAAAATTGATTTGAAGCAAACTTGCCATCTTTAGTGATTTACAATTTATTTAAAATTGCACGAAATATATATAGGCATAGCGTACTAAATTAAGTACTTAATTCAATGATGTGTGCAATGTTACGTGAAAATCGGTTCAGATTTTCAGATATAGCTCCCATATATATCTTCGTCCGATTTAATATATATGTACCAAAGTCGCTATATATCTTTCGATTTGCACGAAATTTGGCACAGCGTAATGAATAAGCTCTAGAATGATGTCTGCCAAGTTTCGTGAAAATCTGTTCAGATTTATATATAGCTCCCATATATATCTTCGTCCGATCTTTCGATTTGCACGAAATTTGTCATTGCGTATTAAGGCTAGAATGACGTGTGCTAAGTTTCGTGAAAATCAGTTTAGATTTAGATATAGTCCCCATATATATTTTCGTCCGATGTTATGTAATTGGTGCATTTTGGTATAGAGTACTGAATTAAATCTAGATTGACACAACGTATTGAAGTAATATAAATTAGTCTCTGGCAAGTTTCCCTGAAATCGGTACAGATATAGATCTATAACAAAAACGCGTCGTCTGTTAGGATACATGTGTAGAATATACCCAATGTGGTGAAGGGTATCATATAGTCGGCACAGTCCGACTTTACTACTTTCCTTACTGGTTTATATTTTTGACATTTTGGCTGATTTTTGTGTTTTGGTAATTTTGAGACTTATAGTAAAACTTTATATTTTTGTAAATATTCTGACCTGTAATAACCGCGACCCATTCAGAAAAATATTCTTCATATTGTTATCAGAGGTATTGCCAAAGACATCATATACCTAAAACACAAGGATTTCGAAAAATCTTAATCCGCATAGTTTAAAATGTCTTGGAAATGGGAAATATTGCCGCTCCACCCTTCCCCACCTTTTAAGGTTACGTCCACCTGCCCTATATTTTTAGCCTTCTATAATAACATTTTTTTTTTTTTTTTTGGAATTTCCCAATAATGATCAGAAGAAGAATATTCGGAATTTAAAGGTTGATAGGCAAGTTTTTCAACCGACAGCAGTAGCGATCTGGTAGTTGGTGGAGACCTGAACGCGAAACATCCCTCTTGGAGTGGTGCACAGGTCGATACCAGGGAAAGAGCGATTTTTACCCTAGTTGGCCGACAGATAGGTTAACTAGGCTCAACGGATTGGTAAAGTCGTATATTGACTTTTTTCCTGCCAGGCAACGCGTCGCTCTGGCAGAGGGAAGAACAATGCCAAAGACCTTCTACAATGAATCCGACCATAGGACGATTCTCATTAAAATCGATAGTAGTTCAATAGAATTAGGTTCGATTAGAAATTTCTTTAATTTCGACTGGAATTTCGTCGGTATACGGAACGTTTGTGTAGGGGCTTGGAGGAGGTTACACTACCAGCCGACTGCAAGTATCTTTTTGGGGATTAATGGGTGTATTTATGTATTAGTTTTTGTATTTCTTGCACTGCTCAATACGGACCTTAGACGACTAAGTCGAGGGTTGCGTAGATCTGGTGATGTATTAGTTTCTGTATTTCGTGAGGCCTGTGCTCTAGGTAACCTTTCCACCTATAATAGCCGGCTTCAATACGGACCTTAAACGGCTAAGTCGAATGTTGCGAAGATATGGTGATCCTGAGTGACTTCCAGTCCTAAGGCAGATATTCGGAATCTTGACCGAATTATTAAGGACAATATTTAAGAATGATCGGTACACGAATTAACTTGAGGGGCTCGCGGTAAATTCGAAGACGTTTGCCAAGGTCAAACGGTTGGCAGGTCTAGCTTCATTCGATCCTGTCAGTCTCCTTGCTAAACCGTATGTTACTAGGGTTAGTTGGGAGATGTTGGCGGATTATGTGCAGGGAAAGCTTCGACACGGCCACGTTAGCTCGGTGATTGAAGATCATTCTCCTATTGTGTCGATTATCAGTTAATTTTCTGTAAATGATTCCCCAGTGGACAAAGTCTCTCTTTGCGAGAATGGTGGATGTAGCGTTGAAAAGGCCAGGTGACGTAGATTTGCAGTCCCCGTCATTCTTTTTAATCACTATCTGAATTTAGTATACTTCCCTGAGGCTTGGAAGGAGGCTTTGTTAGTTCCTATAGTGAAGCGGTCTTCAGAGTCCTCTCATTGTAGCATATTTCTCTTCTCTACTTTTGGGAAGTTATTTGAATCCTTTATTCTCGCCAGGATTAGAAAAACTGTTGAGGCTAAGAAAATTCTGCGGGACTGCCAGTCTCCATGTTAGCTGCATTTTTACCGAGGTGGTTTTTATTTGCATTTCGGGTTTCTGGAGAGCCAAAAGCATTTTAGATAAACTTTTCAATAAATGTCCATATTTTGTCCCCCATATCCCAACTAATCTGCAATAACATAATCTCCATATACGGGTCCTGGCCAATTAAATGATTTTTTAATTGACAGGTTAGAAGGTAAAACAAATTCAGCCTGGTCGAACTAAAGGAATTTTTTACTTGTTTCTACATTACGGTTATATTAAAACTTTAAAACTAATTTGTTGTTTTTTTTTTTTTGTTTTCGACAAAAAAAACAAAAACAAAAATATATACTGTACGGTTACGTCAATGTTACGTTATTTACATTAGCTATGATTCCGTACCCTTCTATCTGCTCAAATATTGATTCTTTATGTAATTAACGAATGAAAAAAACTGGCATAACATTCGTGTAGCATCAACACAATGACACGAGCCGGAGTGCGCATGTCCGGCCAGAGAAAACGTATTCTACACTCGCATACACACACAGTAGTCAGGCTGGGACGATAAGAAACGAACGGAAAGGAAGTCCATCGGAATATCTGAAAAAATAGCAAACGAACATTTCAACGTTTAACATTTTTATATTTTTTAATTGCAAGAAAGAAAAAATACAGAAATTTGTGCAAATAACCTAGTGGCCCAGTGAAAAACGTTCCAATTCGTCGCTCTAACGAAAATATAAAAAAAACTCTTCCGCAGAAATGTTAAATTTCTAAAATCGAAATTGTTTCGGTTTGGCTATAATGATGTTCATACGCATTCTATTAGCAATATTATTCTACAAAGGAATTGAGTGCCAATACAAAAGCATGGAAAGCGATTTCAATATCAACCACAACGACCATCACGATGCCATTGTAATGGCCAATGGCAATAGCGGTGGAATGGCATACGATGTTAATGCCAACAGCAACAACAACAACAATAATAATAATGGCGATATGTATAAACAAGCCAATAAACCACTGGACCGGGGACCATATTTTGATACCTCGGCGACAAAGAATGTCACCTCGCTGGTGGGGCGTACGGCCCATCTAAATTGCCGCATAAAAAATCTGGGCAATAAGACGGTCTCATGGATCAGACATCGGGACCTGCATTTACTGACGGTCGCTGAGACCACGTACACATCGGACCAACGTTTTACATCGATTTTCAATAAGGCCACCGACGATTGGTCGCTGCAAATCAAATACCCTCAGCTAAAGGATACGGGGACGTACGAGTGCCAAGTGTCAACGACGCCGCCAGTCGGTTATACAATGTTGTTTTCCGTGGTGGAGCCGATCACGAGCATACCCGGTGGACCCGATATGTACATCGATGTGGGATCGACGGTGAATTTGACCTGTGTTGTTAGACACCTGCCTGATCCTCCGCATTCGGTGCACTGGACGCACAATAACGAAGAAATAAACTACGACTCGGCCCGGGGCGGGGTGTCGGTGATAACGGAGAAGGGTGATATCACCACCTCACACCTGCTAATACAACGTGCCACCTCCGCTGACTCTGGAATGTACACCTGCCTGCCGTCAAATGCCAATCCCAAATCGGTGACCGTGCACATACTGCAGGGTGAACATCCCGCCGCCGTTCAAGGTACAATGAAGATAACCGCATACGTTATAAATATTCCCATAATCTTGGCGTTCAACTTGTATCTGTTATGACCAATGATAGTGTGGATTTTATAAAAATCTTAAACAAAAAAACCAAACAAACCAAAAATTAATAATATACAACAACAAAAACAAAATATAATATTAATGTAAACTATTAACAATAATCCTAGAGTCCACACAAGCCCCATTTGTGTGTGGTGGTGTTTTCTTATTAGGAAAATTGTAATTTTCTTTCGTTTTGAAATAATAAATAAAACAAATATTAATAATAAGAATACAGAAAAAAAATATTAAACAAACCCAACCAAAGATAATGAGTGTGTGTGTGTACTTTGTGGTAAAAATAAAAGGTAAATCCGATATTATGGCAGGACTATGAATACACTTCAACGAAATGTAAAAAAAATGCATGGATTTAAACGCCACAAATACGAGTATTTTCATTCATTCGCATCCATACGTTAACAAGTCAAATATTGTGCTAAATATATACGATTTCAATGGAAATTCGGATTTCACTTCCCATTTGTCTGATTCAATAAGAGATTTACATTTTTCTACAGAAATGTGGCTACAAAGTCCAGATCAAAAATGAAAACAAAATTCGTATTTAAACGATGTGTGTGTGTGATTGTGTGTATGTGAAATAAACAATAGTTTGGTTATTGATGTGAATGGTACTCGTGTTTATAGTCTGAAGCATTCGGGGACTTATCTGAGGACTTTGAATAATAATTGATAACGTGAAGTTTTTATTGATTTTGTAATTTCATTTAACTGTTTTATGGTCTTAGTAGCGTTTTCATCTGCATTGACTGTAATTCGGCATTCCGGGTTCTTGTGAAGTGAAAATTATCTTCTCAGAAAATTTGAAATTTAATCTCTACATTTATAATGGCCCCAATATAAAGGGAGAGAAAAAACCAGAAAACAAGGAATATTTGTAATCGATCGGGACCGTAGAATTTTATCGCGTCCAAACTTCCTAAAATACCGAGTGATGGGAGAAGGGTGGGTCTAGGCAACAAAATTGGTTATGATTTATCGTTTTTGGCAGTAAGATTTGCTACCTAATGCTAATTTAATTCAAGCCAATTTTGTTGAAGAGCTTTCCAAAACTTCCCAAAATAACGAAATTTGAACAGGGCTTTGACATGTGGGCTACACTAAAAAAATTGACTAAATATTAACGGGACTATCGGAAAAAGTGAACCAATATTGATAATTCTTAATAAGAAGATGTGTATCCCAATGAAAACGTAACATACCAAATTATACCCAATTTGATTGAAAAAGTTTCCGAACTTCCCAATACACTGAATAGTAATGAAGTACCCTCCTTTATAGGGGGTGGGATTGCTATTCTAAAAAGTGGACCCACATCGATCATTTTTGGTAGACAGATTTACTACCCAATTAGAGTTTAATGTAACAAATTACAGTCAATAATGAATATTTGTGGGTACCCAAAATAATGAATATTTGTGGGTACAGTTATATGAGGGTTGTACGAAATAGTGGACCCATATAAATATATGTTACAAGCTCTATCGTGATTTCAACAGACCGGCAGACAGACATGCTTAAATCAACATAGAATTTTATTCTGATAAGATATATGTGGTCTCCGGCGAATATATCGCGTCGGCAAATTTAATTTACACTTCAGCTTAGGGTGGAGGTAATAGAAACATATTTGCAGAAAAATTTCAATATAGCTTCTTGATTCTATGATATAGAAAGGTAGCGTAAAAATTGCAATCTAGGTGCTTCTAATTTGGCATATCACAAATTTGGTGGGTAAAAACTTTATGACGGAAAATTTTTAAGTGAGTTATTTTTACTTTCATTCAAATGTCAGCGACATTACAGGCAAAATTCAAACAAAAAAAAAGCGTATGACAGATGTTTTGATATAGCTCTCATATAACCACCACCTTTTTCTGTATGTTGAAGATCCTCGTCCACTTTTCAACCTGAGTGTTTTCTCAGAAGATAGGTTTATTATTATATTATTGTACGTTTTCAACTCATACCGGAAGTTCGGTAGTACCGATTTCGTCAAAACTTTGTTCATCGTAATATGTATTCCAAACATAGATCAGCTTCGATCAGGGAGTATATCGATCTACTTCAATTGGTATCTCCCCCACTAAATTGGTTTAATATTTAATTATACCCTACATAACTATGTTGTCAGGGTATTACAGCTTTGTGCAGCCCCAAGAGTTTGTAACGCCGCGAAATATTGATCCTAGACCCACCTTTAAGTATACCGATCATATCTCGACTAGCTGAGTCGATCTGTGTGTCCGTCCGTCCGTCTGTCCATTATATTTTGTAAAAACGATACAGGCCACAGTTATGGATCAATCTTCACGAAATTTTGCATGTATGATGGGTTCTGGCCAATGAAGACCCCTATTGCTTTTGGGAAAAATGGGTTAATATTTAGGGGATGAAATGGACCAAATACTAAATTTTTTTACAAATTTTGTATTCTATAGCGTATAGATTTACCCCTGAAGGGCATAGACCGAACAGTTTTTGGTATATCCAAGGGCAGTGGTTGACCTTTAAATTGATACCATTTATATGGCCGTATGTACTCAGATGTGGGAGTTACACTTAAATATTTACAGGTGCTTATGTATTCAGATATTACTGAGAACCCTTTACCACACTAGAGGGCGGAAATATAGCGCTGATCGCTTTAAAATATTCCATGAAGTTCCAATTATGGTCAAGGATAACGCCTACAATTTTCGTTGACGATCAGATAATTATATTGTGATGAAGTGGACCGAAAACTTAATTTTTTGTGTTTTTTTCGAGTCGATCTATAGGCTCCAATGGGAATAAGAAGATCACAACACAAGGGAAGGGAATCTGGACAAGTAATTAGAAGGGCTGTACTGAACATTAGTAATAATTGTCGGCCTCTAGTTGGTCCAGATGGTTCAAATATAGCGAAATATTGCCCAAGCTCAGAATATAGATCCACAGAAACTTAGTTTTTCGTGGAAGTTGTGTACGGTATCATATGGTCGGCCCCGTCCGACTATACTGCTCCGCTCACTGGTTTTAAAATTAAATTCGTAATAATATCTTCCAAACTATATCTCTGCTTCTGAATCCTTCCCAAAAACAGTACTTTTGTCAAAATCCTTGTAAAGGTGATTCAATGCAAACTTTGCTCATCATAAAAATATTGCTTAGCTTAGAACAAGTCCGACAATGAATCCTATCAGTAGACCTCTAATGCCCAATAATGTTTTGAATATCAGTAGATCTCGTCAAGCGATTTGAGTATTGGATCCAAATTGTGTACATCGTGATCTCTGCTAGATCCAATAGCCTTCATTATTGGAACTATCTGATCCATTATACCGCACAAAGAATCAATAAAATATGAATGAAACCAGAAGGACAATTTCCAATTCCATTACTTGCTAAATTCGGCTAAAATCATCGATAATGGGATGGTACTGTTATATGAGGGGCTATAGTGAATCCTGAAACGATATATTCAATTTTCAACACAAAACATTGATTTGTTGCAAACGATATCTATTGTCCGTGAATTTAAAATCATTTGAAATTTTATTGATTTTATATTAAGGTCTTATGCTATTTGTATATTTAGTTTTATTTTGGAGATGGAATATTCATATCAAACTTAAATCTCATTCGAACGTCGTCTCTACTGTAGAATATACATTATTTATCATTTCAAAATACGAATCGTCCTGCAGGGCAATTGTTGGTGATATCCAAGCAACTACTCAAATTAGTAATTCACATGATGACAGATATTCATTAAATCTACTAAATCCGTATATCAATGTTATATGTGTAGTTAATTATAATCAATTTATTTAAACGTACATACATACATTCATTCAAAAACATGTACACTTTAAAAATCATTATTCGAATTTTAATTGATTGGAAATCAAATTGTGTTTGGTTTTATGTCCATCGTTAATATTTCATAAGAAAAACAAAACTAGATTCAACATAAAAACCCAACATCAATCGAAATTTCAAATGCATTTGATGGATTTGCAATAGTAAACAACTGTCACGTATATAAATGAGTATTTCAAAGCAAAAAAAAAAAAAAACATGTCTTTTTTGCGAACACAAATTTTGAAGTTCACAAGAATTTACCGTTCCATTATTTATGCGTTCGCCATCAGATGAAAGAACAAATGGGTTTCATTCAAATGCACTGGACAAAGAGAAAATAATTGAAATGGAAATCTGCATTAATTTGACCAGCATGTTTAGCGGCTACCATAGACCTGCACTTGACAAAAGTTCTCTGCTAAAAAGGATGGGGAAAACACAGCAACACATCCACTCACAAAACGAACGTCGACAAACAAATTTCAATTTCACCTAAACTCTGACCTAAATCATAATATAGCAGTGACTGGCGCTAGATGTTTTTTTTTTTTTATTATTTTATAGCGGCATCACATTCTGCTCCAGTCGCCAGATTCATCGGAATTAGTTTGTTCCACAAAATTAAAGTGTGTGGCAAACGTTTTGTTGCACCCAATTGTGCATGGAACTAGTTAGAAACCTAGTGTTCACAACCAAAACCAAAGGCAGTGAAATTATTTTATATGAAATAGTCTTTCAGAATATTTGTAGAAATTTCAACGCCTTTGAATGGACCTTGAGAAAATATTTTTTTAAAAATCCACGGCTTTGGAAATAATTCCGTTAAATAATTCCTTAGAAAATATTTGTAAAATATCCAGACCTTTGAATAGTTATGAAACAATATTTTTAAAAAATCCACGCCATTGAAAAGTCCTTAAGAAAATACTTTTAAAAATCCACTCCTTTCAAAAAATCCACGGCTTGGAATAACCCCTAAAATATATTTTTAAAAAGTCGACGGCTTGGAATAGCCCACAAAATATATTTTTCAAAAAGTCGACGCCTTGGAATAATTCCTAAAATAATAAAAACCAGTAAGGAAAGTAGTAATGTCGGACGGGGCCGACTATATGATACCCTTCACCACTATGGGTATATTAAACAGGACCATTAAA